ATGATGCGAAATTATATATTAATTTACGATTTTTCTTGTATTCCAGAATAACGCTTATCACTTGTTCGTTGAGAATGAATTTCTTATAAATGTGCGAATTTCTTATAACAATCACAACTACTCGTTAATATTAAAAATTTTATAAACAGTACTACACAAATAACACGCTTTAACCAGTTAGCTATTGGGTCACTCAAATGTGTCGCCAACAATGAGCAACGTTGAGTATACTACCCACGACGCAGACATTATATCAAACTTTTTCATAATAATTATTTATATTTTTCTATTTGTTATCTTTGTCTTATCATTTTTTCGTGACCTACAAACATTCAAAACAACTTAAAATTTACGGATACAATTCAATTCCCACTAAAATAGCGATCCAAACAAACAAATTGTAACAATTTCGTTCGTACGACGAGTATACTCGTCATAACACAAAATACAGTAATTCCTGCATGACGAGTATAGTCGTCAAAAACAGCTAATTGGTTAAATTAGACAACATATGATAACACAGCACACAGTAACAACATAACCGTTGCAGAATATTATAAACGTAATACATATACGTATGTATGGAATAAATAGAAACACTATAAAATACGTATTCGCAAAATATGAACTTGTTATAAGGTGCGCTTGTACCGTGTTCACGACGATACACACATCAAGATGAAGTTCGTCGGCTAGCTGTTATCAGAAGTGGATGATTACCGACGAGAAAATTAATAAAACATTGCAGATAATCTGCTATTTAATACACAAGCTTGTTGTTGTAAGTTATACGCGTACAGGACCTCGAGGCAGGGAAAATGGCGCGCGTGACATTGAAAAAGTTGGCAGAAGAGGAGTCGCGCGCGGCGCTCCGATTTTTGCTGTGTGACAGATGGAAAGGTACACGGGAAGGAACTTTCTCCGACGATCGAATCTCGTTAAACCCGTTCGTCCGTCGAACAACGGCGTAAGATAAAAATGTCGGCGCACACGTGGAGGGACGATTAAGAGAGCAGAGAGCCAAGAAGAGACTGAAAGAGAGAGGATGGTGGAGTGGGGATCGGAGAAAATGAAAAACGAAACGTGGAACGCGGCGTGTCGGAGGAAGCTCGAAGGTGAGGTTCCGTTCGGAACGGAACGGGCTAGACTTTCGACGCCCGGAGGCAATTAAGGCTGTCAAACGGTACCCAGCACGTGGCTGCCTGCGCACCTCGGGACTCTCCTTCGTAGAAACAACATGGAAAAAGATGCTAACGAAAACAAAGTCCTGCGTGCCGTACCACTTTCGAAACCGGGACCACGGTTCTTATTTTTTTGTCCCGCGAATGTTTTGCCAGAATATTGCCGGGTTCGCAAATCTTCCGCTTTGACGAATGTAGCACCCGTAACAGTGCCGTTGCTTTTCTTTCATGGGCCGAGCGCGATCCCGAGAAGACATCTTGGATCTTTTTCCCCGGAGAGAAATAATTTCTGTTCGGAATTCTTGCTGTTTTACGAGCTACGAATTATTACCGGGAGTTTGTACGGCAATTAGGACATCGGATGCTTTGCATTGCTCGCACGGCCGAGATGAAACTGGACGAACATTGGTCGTACGTATCCGTAAAGAAGAGGATAATCAACGCTTTGACTTCTATGTCATCGTAAGAACGTTGAGAACGCGATCGGTTCGCGAAGCAGTTGTTGCGATCCGCAAACAGCTGTCGCAAGAAACTACTAATTCATTAATTCGAGTGTGTACTATCGTATAACATCGTACACGACCGTACAGAGAGAGTTTATAAACATTAGGATATTTCGTACTCTGTAATGATGGTTGTAGGAACGTAATCGGACAGTAATATACATATGTAATTGTAATCGTTATATATACCGTAACGATGATGTACGGTGTAGATAATTGTAGAGTAACAGTAATCTAATAATAAACGATATATTTTAGCTGATAATTGCAATTTTCTTTTATTATCTGACTATTTCTGTAATTTGTCAGCTTCAAATGTTTAAACTGTTTAAACTCGATTAAAAAAGAAAGGAACTTTCGATAACTTATTGGCCAATCTGTGTGTAGGAATTTTTAAAAATTAACTTTGGATTTCGGCGAAATTAATAAGTGTTAGAAAAATGAATAAATATACATTGAACGAAAATGAATACATAGATACGCGTTGTACGAAAACGGGTAGATATGCATATTTTTTCGCTACATTTATTAGGCGTCCAAAGCAACATTTTTTATATTACGAGTACAAAAAGAGAGAAAGCGCTTGAATCGTGAATATGCATTCAATCTTAGTTTATTGCCATTAGTCACTTCGAGTGTGATTCTATTCTACCGATGCATGGATAAGAAAAAAACGAATAAGAAAGAAGTTCGGTAATTAGTAATGACATAGAATTCTTTCTAGGACATCCTAATATTTGTATAGAAATGTAAAGGATCTTCGTACCGACCATATGTTCCCAATTTCCACATGGATGAAGTCTTACTGCGAACGTTTATACCACTTATTAACACTTTTTCACTAATTAATGAATTTGGTATTGTTCAGAACTTTCTGTTTTTATGAATAGTTCTGCCATATAAGACCGTTTAAAAAATATTGTAAATAATCATAAATACGGGAATACAGAACTTCGGGTGTTGTTATTATTATACTGCTTGCTTTTATGTAAGTTCTGAATTGTATTCATTATATTACGAAAAAAAAATAAGAAGAAAATTTCGCCAAAAAAGAAGATATTCTACATCACAAGGAGAAAGTAGAGATGCCATTAATCTTTGTTATTGTATTAGGTCTACCGGAAAGTTCTGTCTGATAATGTCATTGCAAATTTCGATAGGTGCGCACATGTTCATTTGAGACATATATTTTTGAAAAATGTTGCTCACAAATTGCCATCACGCTGGCAAGAAGTCATAAGTAACGACGGAAATTATATTGTACAATAAATATTACTAAATTTATGAAAAATCTATTATTTCCTTTTATTTCTCAAACGGACAGAACTTTCCGGTAGACCTAATATCAGTTCTCTGCTAGTTTAATGTAGATTCCGCAAATGCTTAAAAATCCACAGTCTAGTAATTATAGCATGAATAATAAGAAAGAAAGCGATTAACGTTAAATTAAAAGTTCTACGAAATAGTACAAGGTGAATACTACAATACTTTTCGAAATTGTATCCTGAATGGAAACATGATGAATTTACAATTTAAAGTTCCTTCAAATGAAAATTACCATATTGCTTTTTAGTTTTCATAAAAAAAAACTGATCCTTTTGAAGAGCAGCCGCCTTGAGAATAATGCAAAGTCTCTCGCAAAGGACAGAAGTATGGCAGAGCATCGTTCAAGCATTAAATCTACATACGAGTTACATACATTTTGAAATGTATCTGCCGGAAGCTGTCTTTCACGAGGGACGAATCAACCTGTATGTGCGATTATGCAAACTGTATGCGTGTCGGTAATTGTAACAAGGTGATCAACTTATATGTTTTTATTCNATTTCGATAGGTGCGCACATGTTCATTTGAGACATATATTTTTGAAAAATGTTGCTCACAAATTGCCATCACGCTGGCAAGAAGTCATAAGTAACGACGGAAATTATATTGTACAATAAATATTACTAAATTTATGAAAAATCTATTATTTCCTTTTATTTCTCAAACGGACAGAACTTTCCGGTAGACCTAATATCAGTTCTCTGCTAGTTTAATGTAGATTCCGCAAATGCTTAAAAATCCACAGTCTAGTAATTATAGCATGAATAATAAGAAAGAAAGCGATTAACGTTAAATTAAAAGTTCTACGAAATAGTACAAGGTGAATACTACAATACTTTTCGAAATTGTATCCTGAATGGAAACATGATGAATTTACAATTTAAAGTTCCTTCAAATGAAAATTACCATATTGCTTTTTAGTTTTCATAAAAAAAAACTGATCCTTTTGAAGAGCAGCCGCCTTGAGAATAATGCAAAGTCTCTCGCAAAGGACAGAAGTATGGCAGAGCATCGTTCAAGCATTAAATCTACATACGAGTTACATACATTTTGAAATGTATCTGCCGGAAGCTGTCTTTCACGAGGGACGAATCAACCTGTATGTGCGATTATGCAAACTGTATGCGTGTCGGTAATTGTAACAAGGTGATCAACTTATATGTTTTTATTCTACGATTAACGAGAGATACGCAGCTTAGATCAAAGGAACAGATTTAGGAGACCGTCAAGAGAGATAAGTCAGTGAAATAGGCCACGTGCATGACAGAAAGTAGGTGCGACGAGCATGTGACTTCGAAGTTACACCAAAGCACAGTGTAGGGTTAAAGTATTAGTTTTACATTTTTAAAAAGAAATTGTTTGTATTCAAGTTATTTTTTATTATGAGAAAGTTATTCGGTCTTCCAAAGATGAAGGTTAATAAATATTTACAAGTTCATGAAAATCATGTCTTTTTAAAAATAAATTTAGCTAAAAAATGACTGATATCATCAACCCAATTCGAACCACAAAATATCCTAAACCACTTTATGGAAAACTATATAAGTCTTAAAAATATTTTTGCAGGTATCTCGGAAACAGAAGATCATTGATATCGATTAGATGCAACTTCGTCTCTACAATCACCCCCTTCGTTATAAACGTTCAAGATCGAAAGGTGGTATTTTTTGTAAATATCTAACCCTGGTTCCACAGTGCTTAAACAATTAACAATACATTTCATGCACATAACACAACGACAATCCCAAGATGCACACCAACAAAATGTGCTATTCATTTGTCGATTCCCCGAAAAATCAATGCTTGCAACAGCACCGATCGGACTCCCCGACATTCGACTCCATCTCTGTAATCAGTGATGCTTCGAAACTAACGTTTGAGAAATACAAAAAAAAGGGAAAAGATAAGGGTATAAAGGGTTAAAGCAACGACCTCATAAAGAAGCATCACGTGTCCAATATTCTTTGCACCAGTCGCCATAGAAACTTACCTTAGACGTGCGAGGCAGATATCGCTAGCTCAATAACGTGGCGGCGCTTGCTAAAATTCACGAATCGAACCAGACTCGTCGAAGAACCGAAATTAGGTTGGCCGCGGAACAACATTATTCATGGGTGTCTCTAACGCGCGCAAGTGTACCACCTTTCACTCGTCAACCGTCGGAATCTTCCAAAAAAAGCCGGCTGGATGGGACACAGGGCCGAAATTCGAGTATCGAGATGAACGGTGCTTAGTTTTGAACGAAGGTTGGGGTTGGCTGCGCCACTGTCGGAGGTTGCAGCAGCCATCGAACCGCCCCCTGGACTGGGACTAGCTGCCAATCATTCTCCCTCTCTCTCTCTCTCTCTCTCTCTCTCTCTCTCTCTCTCTCTCTCTTCTCTCTCTCTCTCTTACTCTCTCTCTTACTCTCTCTCTTCTCTCTCTCTCTTTCTCTCTCTCTCTCTCTCTCTCTCTCTCTCTTCTGTCTCTCTCTCTCTCTCTCTCTCCCTCTCTCTCTCTCGTTTAAGGGAACCTAGATTTTTCTGCGTCGTGCTCGAGAGCAGAGGCCAGGTGCATGCGCACTGACCCCGTAAAATCCAAAATTCTCTAGGAAAGAAAGTATTTAACTTGATTTAAAGAGATACAACGCGTTTCCCTGGCCGGTTAGATTGATCCGTGGCGCTACTGCTGCTGTTTCCAGGGACGCCGGGGTCTAACAATGCCCATATTTCAGCTTTATAGAATGCTCCAGCTTTATAAAGAATATTGAATATATTATTGGTCTTAGTTGCTTTCAAATGCACGTCACAATTTTTAGGGATAATGGTTTGGTAGATGCTTGTTGGGTAGCTGGCTGGTAGTGCTACCAGCGGGTGGTAAATGCGACGGATTCTGTTGCTGGATAAGGTAATCGGAATTCTCCAACGTTGCACGCAGTCTTCGACACTCTATTCTCTGTTCGCATTTGGATTTCTCAGAATTATTCTGATCCTTTCGTATCTAGCATACGAATAAAAGTATCAACAAATATAACTGAGAATATAGACAAATTATGTAATAACAATAATAAATTAGATATTTCTAATATAATTTTTTATGATTTTTCAAACCTGTTTGTCGCATAACATGTGTATATTATTGTAGTCAAATCACGTATCAATATCTGTTACGGTTCAAATGTTATACAAAAACATTACTATATGCTTCCATCCAGACCGCTGAAAAGATTATAATTATTTACAATAATTATAATTATTATTTACATTATTTACATTATTATTTACAATAATTATAATCTTTTCAGCGGTCTGGATGGAAGCATATAGTAATGTTTTTGTATAACATTTGAACCGTAACAGAAATCTTATTTAAACAGATATTTACACATTTAGAAAGTAAAAAATAATTCGTAAAATTATATTTAAACAATCTTTTATATCAAAGATATCAATCAAAATTAATTAAAAATTATAGCTTGACAAATACAAAAAATATTTAATTATCTAACATTAAGAATGATTATTTTTTAAATGTTTTTAGTGAGAATATCATTGCAATACCTCCAATGGTTCAAAAGTTATAAGAATATGTCACTGAATTTCTGGATCCGGAGAATATTTCTATTTAAATTGAGTTTCTTTTTCATCCTTAATAGAAAAAGCCGGTGGCTCCATCTCGTATTTATCAATCAGCTACGCATCTCTAGATAATACCATTTCCGTAACGAAATCTGTATAGAGATCAGTAGATACCGAGCTGCTGAATCCGCAAAGTCACGTGATTACCCAAGGTTTCAAGGTTTCCTGACGTATTGTAGCAACTTGATTGCTTTTAATCGGATAGTGCTTGCAGATATTCCACAAAATACACAAACGATATATATATTTCTGTTTTTTATACATTAAAATGTGAAATAAAATATTTCGATCTCGTATTATAAATAGTATTGACAAAATTTGGTGGTATTGAAAATACATCAGGGAGAAAATTATTATTAGACTCAGGATTGTATGCATTTATTTTTTGCAATCAATATATTTTTATTTGACATAAAATTCACAGTCTCGTTATTATTATTCCATATATTGTATCTTAAATATATTTGTCTAGTGTTTTTGTGCATTTCGTGCATCTACTGAGGGTTGCAGCCAGCTATCGAACTACCCCCTCAATTGCGACTAGATAAAGGTTTAAGACAAAAACTCAAATAAAATAAAAAAATGTCAAGGAAATTCATTATGTTAATTTTTAGATCGCTAGGTTTCTACAAAAAGTGCACATAGTTTTGAATGACATTGATTTGGGTAGATGACTATTGGATGGCTGGTAGGTGCTGACAATGTATCTGCTGGCAGGTGCCGGCAAATGTTATAAGTTCTGTTGGCAGGTGAGGTATCTGTAATCTTTCGTTACTGGATTGGTTTCAGTGCTGAGTAATGTTTGTAGGAAACTATTAAATCTTTTTTTAAATGCTACCACAAGTGATCGTTGTTATATGAAATATTATATTTTAAATAGAAAGTGAAATTTTTACAATTGAAATATTTTTATTTTGCCAATTCTACAGCATAAACTTTGTATTATAAATAGCGTAAGATATTTCTTAGGAATGTAAACAGACCAAGGAGAGAATTATTATTAGAATGCAAGAATTCATAATATTTATGAATCAGTCCAACGAAATGAAACAGTTTTTCAATTCTACGAAGCGATATAATTTGTGTATTGTAATTTGATCTCGCAAATTGTTATCATCATCGAAATATTATTAATCACCTTCGAATCAATAAGTGACCTTGAGTAATTTGAACGCCGCGTTATGGACGTCACAGTTTCCATTCCAGAGTCTGTTAAAATGATGAAGAAAATCGTACTTAAACTTTTTAAGGGTCACTGAAAACGGGGAACTTCCCTCTACGAGAACAACTCTAAACAAATTCCCGAAACAATTTTTTGAACTCGGTCAATTTGTTTCAAGCTAAATTTTAAATGGCAAAACAACTAATAGCAGTTTAAATAGCGACAGTCTTTCGGTCTTTTAGTGTAAAAATAATATTTAATAGTAGAAATGGTATTTAATAGGTAACAATAAAAAGAAAATACATTAGAATAGATAAATTATTTCTCTCTCTCTCTCTCTCTCTCTCTCTCTCTCTCTCTCAAATTTGTAGTATCAAACGTAAGAATTTTCATCCTGTATATATTTTAATTTTACTGGCCTAACGCAAGTTATTTATTTAACATATGCGACTATGAATAAGTAAAGAATAAAAGATAGATCTTTTATGAAAATATTTTCGCCAGGAGTAATAAATACAGTGGATGCAGAAAGTATTCGTACACCTTTTAAAACAGAATAACATTTTTATAATTAGGCCAAGCAGTCTAAATTTTGTTTGGGATGATAGAGGGATTAATTTACTAGACAATGACTAAGAAATTATTTTCAAGAATTGCAATTTGTTGGCATGATAACAGAATTAAAAAATTATGTTTTTTAACTTTTTCATCCGAGCCTATAACGAAAATTTAAAAATGCATTTCTGAAAATAATTTTTTAGCCGTTGTCTAATAAATCACTCTAACATCCCCCCCCCCCCCAAAAAAAGAATGTAGACCGCTTGGCCTAATTATAATAAAATTATTACATACGAATACTTTCTACACCCACTGTACCTATTCGATTCTCTCTTTCATTTAATTGTAGCAAAACATCGTAAGAGTTCCAAGGGCGTTGAAACCAAAGCGATTTACTTGATGCCCTCTTTGCCGCAGGTTCAACGAGATCATTTATCGTGGAAGGAACTCTCGGGGAAGCGACGTTGAACATAATGTCAAGGTTGATTCAAGTTAGCTCGAAGGATCGGGAAGTATGCAAACTATCGTCGAGCTGTTCAGTGCGGAACAGAACAACGTAACTCATCGTTTGTTCACCTATTTTACATAGATAACAAAATACGAATGTAAATAAGAACATAATGCTATCTAAGTTCAAATAAATTTACGCGACGATATATTTCGTTTCGTGAAAATAGTATAACGCGTATATTTAAAATCGCTTTACTTATACTTATAGCATAACTATACTTGTACTCTATAGAAATTCGTTTAATAAAGTGACTTGTCATGAATATTAAATATCGTATATTAATCAATTTGTTGTGCAGCTGTTCTATAGTTACCATATCTCTATCTTTAAAATATCTTACAATGTGTGAAAAATTCTGTATCACATTGATAATCGAAATAACGGCCACTTCGATCAAGTACTGCAGATTTATAAGGCATTAATGACAGGTGTTGGGTGGACACCAGTTTCGTCAACAAACATGTAACACCTGGTACACATGGAAATTTTTTCGTAGTCACGTGTAAAGTTTCGTCTTATACACGATTGGTCCGTTATTAAGAATTGAAGTCTGACAGTGTATTTGTGAGAGGAGGACAGCATCGTTTAGGCTAATCTTTGGTGGTATACATGTTGTCGAATATCATCTACGCAATAATTTGTTTCAAACTAGAATAAACGATTTGAATTTTTCTTTTTTAGATGATAGAGGAACTAGTATACTAGACAATGACTAAACTATTTTGTTACAATTTTGCTATTGACAGGTGTTGGGTGGACACCAGTTTCGTCAACAAACATGTAACACCTGGTACACATGGAAATTTTTTCGTAGTCACGTGTAAAGTTTCGTCTTATACACGATTGGTCCGTTATTAAGAATTGAAGTCTGACAGTGTATTTGTGAGAGGAGGACAGCATCGTTTAGGCTAATCTTTGGTGGTATACATGTTGTCGAATATCATCTACGCAATAATTTGTTTCAAACTAGAATAAACGATTTGAATTTTTCTTTTTTAGATGATAGAGGAACTAGTATACTAGACAATGACTAAACTATTTTGTTACAATTTTGCTATTACTTGGAATGATAAAACAAAATAAAAGATGCTCGTTTTTCAAATCTTTTATCCGAGCCTCTAATGAAAGTTTCAAAAAAATGCGTTTCGTAGTTCTCGGTAAGTTATACGCGTGCTGAAAATTTCATCGAAATCGATTAACGCAAAGTCAAGTTGACAACGTTAAAAGATTGTAAAAGCTGCAAATTCCTTACGCTTATTGGTCGAAAGTATCAAAAATCAGGACGAAACTGCGATTTTTGCATTTTATTTTGATTTCGGTGAAATTTTTAACATGCATATAATAATATGCATATATAACTTACCGAGATCTATAAAACGCATTTTTTGTATTTTCGTTATAGGCACAGATGAGAAAGTTATAAAACGAGAGTTTTATCTTTTCTTTTGTCATTCTAAACAATAATAAAATTTAAAAAAAGCATTCTAGTTGTGCTCTAGTAGACTGGTCGCTCTATCACCTAAAAAAAAATCAAGTCGTTTAGTCCAGTTCAAAAAAAGATACCTTTTGAAAAGTATCCAAATATTAACGGGAGTCACACACACACACACTGTGAATCATCGAGATCAACGAAACCCACGTTTTAAATGTATATCCTAGCCTCAGGTAAACTTTTGAAAAAACTTCTTTACACATCCTCTAGTAAATTGGTCCCTTGCGCATCTCAAAAGAATTCCAGCTATTTTGATGCAATTTTCAAAATGTTACAGTAGAATCTCACCAATGGTTCCTCAACTTGTAAACAACAATGGACAATTTAGGAAGAGGATTGTTCGATTGTTCGAGCCTCGCGGCTCGTTTTTACAGTTGTTGACAATCGGCGATTATAAAAAAACGAGCCGCGAGGCTCGATTAATCGTATTTCCTTTGCCCAAATTGTTCACTTTTTGTTCACAAGCTGAGCAACGATTTGAGAGAATTTATACTGTTTACGAAGATGTTCGAACACTTTCGTGAGGAACAGAGTATATCGACGTATTAGATCTGTATAAACAGCCGCTGTGTACATACTGATAGGGAACGAAAACGGAGCCGTTAGACGCTGAATCTACGCGACGATCGATCGGATCAGTCGCAGACAAACATCTCCGCTCGACGCGTCGCGCGTCGTGTCTATCTTCCGCTGATTCTCGGCGTGACTCGTGGGAGCCGAGTTCGCGCGAACAGTTTGTTATTCGCGGCGTGCGTGTTACCGCGAACAACAATGTTTACTTGACGCGGCGCGTGGCAGAACCTAAGGAGCTTTAGAAAAAGCTCGTCGCTCCTCCTTCACCGAGTTCGCGTTAACGCATCACGTGTTTTACCTGGACGGTCGACCAGCTGTGACACATCTGCAGTTCTTGGGAATCCGACAATCGGCAACTCGATCGCGCACACATGCTGCTGGTATCAGCCCGATGCGTGGCCACGAGAACGTACGCTATCTTGCAGGTGCGAACTAATCTGAATTGAACAGAAAGGTTTATTCTGTATCTGATAGAAGTGCCTTCGCGTCCGTTCCTGGAGTTGACGAGGCGATGTCGAAATGACAGCCATTCTAACGATTCTGAAACTTTGTACTTTGTTGGAAATGTGCTGAGAAATACAAAGATAGATGTTATGTAAACTCCACAGGAAATCATTATAATTTCGTATGATTTTGTTTGAAATGTGGGCCATGGGAAGCACAATTCTTATCTGACAAGGATCCATAAAAATTTATATTAATATTAATTTCATTTACCAGAATTATTATTAATGTCAATTAAATTTTTACAGGAATTATAATTTAATTGATAAGTATTATACTTTAATTCTCAAATTTAATTTAATATTTAAAAATACAACGATATTCTAGAATTGTTCTGGTATATTTTATAGTTTTATAAATATTCACGATAATAAATGAAAAGTGTAGATTTCCTTAGCAGATTGTTTCCAACGTCTAGAAAGATTTGTCAGCAAGACAAAAATTGTTGCACTCTTAAGCTTCGCATGAAGCACAATTGTGAAACATTTCAGTTCTTCTTTCAGGTTCACTTCATTGAACACTAGTTTAGCTGTTGATTTTTTACGCTGCTAATCTTTTAGACTCTCATTTTGAAAACAGCTAGAACAAGAATGATGTATTTATAATTCTTTACATTAACATATATATATCTACGATAATAATTAACATATAATTAACATATAACATATAATTAACATATAATTAACATATATATATATATATATATATATATATATATATCTACGATATTTATA